TATATATATATATATATATATATATATATACCACTGTGTTTGTATCTAGATGGCTATTGCATTTATGTTGTTTGTCTATACACTGTTTATACAAAAAAGTAAATATATTTATATTTATTGATTCTTTATTTTCTTTTATTATTTTTTTTTATTTTTTTTAGTTTTATTGTAGAGAGAGAACAACAAATGCATAGTCGAATTGCTGCTGGCTCTGCTCGGGTCACCGTCTCTCCCCCACAAACCCTAAACCCTAAACCCTAAACCCTAAACCCTTATCACCTCTAACCAACAATATTCCCATTGTCTGTACACCCCACAAAGCACTTGAAGGAATACAGCCAAATTCCCCCCTCTCGCTGCTGCTGCTGTTGCTGCTGCTGCTGTTGCTGCTGCTGCTGCTGCTGCTGCTGCTGTCTCCTCAGGTTTGCCGCGAGACCCCTGGAGTTTTCTCATGAGCCGTCGGGCCCTGCTGGTACCCAAACAAGGGGCCCCTGGAGCCCCCTTTGGGGCCCCCGACTGGCTCAAAGGGGGCCCCCCCGGGGCCTCCTCTGAGGGGCCCCCCGGGGCCCCCTCCGAGGGGCCCCGTGCCTCGCACCCACACACAACACTTCAGGCGAAGGTGGAGGGTGGGGAGGCTACGAGTTCTACAAAGGAAGCCACTAGCAGCAGCAGCACCAGCAGAAACAGCAGCAGCACCAGCAGCAGCAGCAGCAGCAGCAGCAGCAGCAGCAGCAGCAGCAGCAGTTGGCTTCGTGCTCCTTCAGTACGCTTCATAGGAACAGCATCTGAGGTGGGGGAATATTTCGAGGCCCTAAGGAGACAGCAGCAGCAGCAATGCCGCCTCATCAAGACACCCCACGAGCTCCAGTGTATATACACTATCAACAACAAAATAAAACAAAAAGAAACACAACACGCACCCCCCATCTCTTACTTCCTCTGGCGTCACAGACGGCTCCGCCTACAAGGACAAGACCAGCAGCAACACCCTCTGCAGGGGGGCCCCCCTGGGGCCCCCCAGGGGGGCCCCCCTGGGGGCCCCCCTATGGGGGCCCCCTATGGGGCCTCAACTATAGAGCCTTCTGTGGGGCCCCCTGGGGGGCCCCCAGGAGGTTCCATAGTTGGGGGGCCCCCTGGGGGGCCCCCCAACGGAGCCGATGGTGTGGAGGGTTTAGGTGATTGGGGTTTGGGTGTTGGTGGTTTTTTGTTTCCTCTGGAGATTGGGGAGTGTGGGGTTTGTGGTTTGTTGCCTATGGCTGTGGGGTTGCGTGTGTTGGGTTGTCCCCCATACAGCGCATCAGTACTGTGCATATCCTCGGGATCGGGATCGGGATCGGGATCGGGATTGTGGGGGGGAGCGGGGGGGGGAGCGGAGACAGTGGTGATAGATATGCTGAGCCGGCAGCAGGTGTATGCTGCTGCTGTAGAGAGACTGCTGCAGTGGCTGCTGCCTAACCCCTTAATATTAAAAATAATTTTTGATGCGAGAGAGACAGTTGAGAGACTGGCTGTGGGGCCCCTACGCATGCAGGAGGCCCTCAAGCCCCTCGTACACTGCATAGACCTCAGGTAGTTTATATACTGTCTCCTTTCTNCATGCAGGAGGCCCTCAAGCCCCTCGTACACTGCATAGACCTCAGGTAGTTTATATACTGTCTCCTTTCTTCTTTCTGCTGTCTCCTTTTGTCTCCTCCTGCTGTTTTCCTCTCTCTTTCTCTCTTCTTTATATACTCTCTCGGGTCTCCTTTTCTTTTTTTTGTCTCCTTTTCTTTTTTTTGTCTCCTTTCTCGTTTTGTCTCCTTATAAGGTTCGTTGGTTGTTAGTTTATCCACTGTCTCCTTTCTCCTCTCAACTGTCTCCTTTTGTCTCCTCCTCCTGCTGTCTTTCTCTCTTTTTTTCTCTCCTTCTCTCTTCTTTGTGTACTCTCTCGTGTCTCCTTTTCTCTTCTTTTGTCTCCTTTTTCCTTTTGTCTCCTTTCTCGTTTTGTCTCCTTATAAGGTTCGTTGGTTGTTAGTGTATACACTGTCTCCTTTCTTCTCTCAACTGTCTCCTTTTGTCTCCTCCTGCTGCTGTCTTTGTCTCTCTCTACTTCTCTCTTTTTTATATACTCTCTCGTGTCTCCTTTTCTTTTCTTTTGTCTCCTTTTCTTTTTTTTGTCTCCTTTCTCCTTTTGTCTCCTTATACGCCGCCTGTCTCCTTTCGTTTCCTTATTTTTTCTGCTGTCTCCTTTTGTGTCTCTCTTTGTCTCCTTCTGTATCCTTCTCTCTCCTGTCTCCTCTTTGTCTTCTTCTCTGTCTAGCTATCTTCTCTATCTTCTCTCCTTTTGTCTCCTTTCTCTCTATATTTTCTCTTTTTGTCTCCTTTTTCTCTATCT